AAACCCTCAGTGCAATTCGAGTGGAGCTTACTAGGAGGCAACGGCGGGATTGCAACGTACGGAGACACAAAACTCCCTAGAGCTTCTGAAAAGCTTTGGAGTGCATAACCTTAGCGATTGCAGTAACTGGGTAATGAATTCTTGTTTTGTTCCTATACTGCTCATTTTATTTATAAAATACATGTCATCTAGGAGTTAGGAAGATTTGCATACACATCCACTCAATTCATGTGCTTTTACGTGTCTATTGCCTCAAACTTTCACATGAGTATGCATAGCACTCAAATATTTTATGTTGCAACAAGATAATGCATTTACTTATCTTTTACAATACACATAAGCTTCAATATTTGTATGTCTACTTGCTGAATTGAGAGTTTCAGAATGGCATAGATGTTGTTTTAAGTCTTATAAACTTGTGGTCTTAGAAAAATAAAATGCTATTTTGTTTGTCCTGTATTTATGCTATTGGGAAGAGTTAAATGTTGTCGTATTCGAGTCATATTATTATTGTTGCTTATTCGAGTCATATTATTGCTGCTTGGAAGCACTAAATAGCACTGTTTTGGCTCTTCGATTTCACTTTTTTTTGAGTTTCTACAAGTGTTGTTTGGGTACATTAAAAAAAAAAGCTGTTTGAGACAATTTAAGTGATGTTTGAGGGTTATTTTGGGACACGTTCAGACTAGTTTCGCTGCAGTTTTTAGAGTTTTAAATGTACCCTTTTTTTAGGAAGACTGTCACTGTTTTGGGCTAGTTTCCTTAGCTAATTTTATAACATTTAAAATTTATGTTTTGGGCTTACATGAGAGCTATTTGAGAATTTTAAAATTGTTGTTTGGAACATTATAAATGTTTTGCTTGAAGCTTTTAAAAGTGTTGATTTGGAGTACTTTAAAATGTTTTTTTTTTTTTGGGTTGACCTCAGTCGGGTTTTGGGCATCATTTAAGCACTGATTTACATGTTGATTTGAAAACTTTAAAAGTTGTTTTTTTGGGCCGCTCAAAACATTGTCTTGGAGTAGATTTAAACACTCCTCTTGAGGGCCGATTTAATTACAATATTGAAAGAATTTAAACGTTTTTTTTAGGCTGATTCACTTGTTTTTCCCCCGCTTTGGCTTTATTAGTTTTAGAAGTGGTTCGGCCTTCTTCTTTTGTTTTATTTATTTTTAAATGGTTAAATCATAAAGATGGGGATTGATGATTTAATTAATTGGAAGATATAGAAAACTTTTAATCACCTAAGCATAAGTTAAAGAGTAGACTTCCTAAAGTTTTAGGAGCACACCCTAGGTGAGAGTACATTCACCTAGTCCTCAGTGTAGACCTCTTAGACTTTAGCTGCACATCCTAGGTGAGAGCCCATCCACCTAGTCCTCAGTGTAGGCTTCCTAGAGCTTAG